GATTTGAGCAGTAAACAGGTAAAACATGACTGAGAATATGCTTTCAAACAAATAGAGTGAGGAAAGATAGTAAAAATGCCCCTAAGGGTCTCAACAAGTCGGCACAAGGCCCCAACATGGCATACAACCCAAAAATATAATAATGTCAAACAATTAACTATCAAATACGCATTAAAATATTCGTCCGGGATGGACTTGGTCACAATCCCCAGCGGTGCTCTACCCCACGCTCGTCATCCAGCGTGCAAGTCACCTCAAAGTAACACAACGACGTATAATCCGGGTTTTCAAACCCTCAGGACAGTATTTACAATCATTACTTACCTCGATCCCGTCCAAAATCTAGCCCGCGATGCCTCGCCCGCACGAATCGACCTCCGGATGCTCCAAATCTAGCCACAATCAGTACATAATCATTAAAATATGCTAAGGGAGCGAAGCCCACTCGAAAATATCCAATTTAACATCAAAATCCCGAAATTGCTCAAACCCGCCCCCCGGGCCACGCTTCGGAATTCGACGAAACTCACAAAATCCGACAACCCATTCAAGCACGAGTCCAACCATACCAAAATTACTAAATTCTGATAACAATTCGGCCTCCAAATCTAGAATTTTCGTTTTTGAAAAGTTTACAAATTTTCTCCAATTTCTTCCATTTGATTCACTAATTCTTGATGAAAATAACCATGGAATCATTAAATATAATAACTTTTGGATATAAAACACTTACCCCAATCCATATGGTAAAAATCGCTTCGATAATCGCTTCAATCCGAGCTCCATAGCTCCAAAAATGAGAAAACTCTCGGACTGCCCGAATCATACACTGTTCAAAAAATTTCGCGGTTACTGTTCACGCATTTTACTGTTCATGGGTACTGTATACGGGGTACTGTTCATATGTACTATACACGAGTACTATACACGGATACTGTTCATGTTTACTGTACATGGTACTGTACACGGATACTGTTCACGCAGGTGCGGTTACTGTGCACACNGCAAATGACATAACGAAGCTACATCAACTATCGGAATTCCATTCCGACCCTCGGATTAAAATCTCATCTATCAACCGGAATTCACTAAAATACTAACTTTGCCAATTCAAGCCAAATCCTTCCACGGACTTCCAAAATGTATTCCGATCGCGCTTCTAAGTCATAAATCACCCAACAAAACTATTCAAATCATAAAATTTCTGATCCGAGCTCATATACAAATAAGTCAACTCTTAGTCAACCTTTCAAATTCAAAGCTTTCAACTAAGACTGTTCCTTCAAATTCATTCCGATTTTTTCCTGAAAACCAAAACCAACGATCTACATCAGTCATAATACGTTACACGGGGCAAGTCATGCCCAAGAACTGGCGATCAAAGTACAAAAGCTAAAAACGACTAGTCGGGTCGTTACATACGAGCAACTGGCTCCATGGATAGAAAGGGTGACGATACCATTGTTGAGGAACTGTCATTAGTTCCTACATTCTTCAACTCTTTGATTTGTTTGAGAGTCAGTTCACTTGTCTCTCGGAACTATTGAGTTGGAACTGAAGCCAAACTTCTTTATCAGGGAAATATTAATTTATAAATCAATTACATGAACGGTGAGAAAAATAATAGGAATGAAAAGGAACTATAACACACTTACATTCCGTATGTCATTAAGTCATCACTGGCGTGAGATCACATTAACAATTCGAGCACTAAATGGAGAAAGCATCATTAATGAAATGTTGACTTTGATCATAGTTTTCCTACCAAAGTAAGAAAAAGTAGTTCATACGATTTAAGCCAAGTTCCTGTATCTTGTTTCTAAAAACTTAATGACATACTTCCCGATTGAGGCATGTATACGATCACCATAGAAAATCAAATTCCATGTTAGTGCACAATTATGAAGCCAACTGTAAGAGACAAAAAGAGAAATAGTTGTACTATACATATTTCATATATAAGCCAAATTTCTGTATATTCATCCGAAAGAACTTAATAACATACTTTCGACGATAGTCTAAGCAAGGTGACCATATCTAATATTTGTCAGATATTTATTTTGAACATAATGAATCTTATTAAGTACAAAGATTCAATATAGGTAAATTTTAAGTCCGACATAATCAGGACATAACTGATTAAAGTTTTCCCCATCATGTGAATGACAAAGTAAGCTTTGGTAATTTGTATTTTTGCACGCTCATTATCGCCTATCAAATGATCAAGTTATATGTCATGCATTTTATTTTTTTCAACTAAAAAATCACAATCAGTAATAATTTAATTTAACCACCATGTACAAGTTTGAATATCAGTATATATTCTCATAACTATAGTTTTAGTCAAATAATATTTTTCTTAACTTGGTTAAAGTAAAATATTATTTGCACTATACAGGTCAAATATAATGGACTCTAAATTTTATTACAATACACCAATCTTTGCAATCTAAGTGCCGATAGATTTACTTTTGTTTCTACCTTAATTGTATGTCCCAAGTTATAATCGTTATAAGCGTAAAAAAATCCTTCTCAAGAAACTCAATTTTTTTAAAAATTACTGGGACAGTTGTGCTTGAATGATAATCGGTGCTATAGTTCATTCCATATCACTTAAAGAACAATTTATATAGAATTGGAATTACTAGAGCAACTTCTTAGACAATTGATGCTACGGGGAAAAAAGAAACTTTACAGAAGTCTTAGCAAATACTTTATAATACGGAAAAAATATTGATTTTTCTGTAATTTATATAGAATTGTTAATTCTACTTTTAGAAATAGAAATACTGCATAGAAGCGGAACTTTAAAACTATGTGAAAGTTGAATATGTTACCTTTGAATTATGTATAACCAATTACATGGAATATGATATTCCAGGCTTGAATCAATCCAGAATTTCCCACGTTCGAATGACTCTAACTTTGAGATTCAATTGCATCGAGTTGCTTGAAATTTGTCTGATTTCATAAACTTGTGTAGCCATATTTGTAAAGCTGTTGTTGTAATCAGATGAGTAGATAAAATAGGAATTTGAAATTTTTTGAAATAATAAAGCACATAAATCAACAATTATGGGAGATGTAGATAAAATAGGGATTTTTGTGGGAAGCCCACGTTTAGGACACGATCAGTCGTGAGGTTTAGGACTCTGTTTTCTTTGTTTTAATTTTTCTTTTTTCTTTATAAAAATAATTGTTAAATTTGAGTGGGTAGTTTTTATTAGAAAACGACCAACAAAAAAGTGGGAGTTGTTTTTTTCTTTTTGTAATTTCCAAGTATAATACAATAACTGGCAACATATTGGCGGAAGTATACAATTCTTCTGAAATTCGTTGGTTGCAAGTTTATTTTCCTGATTTGTAGTTTAAATTAATTTTGAACTCCAACTATGTTGGAGATTTGTCTTAAAGTTTGACATGTGTTGAATTGTGGGTATTTCACTTGGCATCCTATTATAGTTTTGCTTTTGTTATTCTATATAGATAGAAGATTAATTTTAAACTCCAATATTATTGGAGATGTGTCCAAAAAAATAACACTTGTTGAATTGTGATTATGTCACTTGGCATCATTATATTATTTTGCTTCTCCTTTTATATATAGATAGATAGATATATAATCATCATTTTAGGCTTTGTGCGCACTATGTACTCAAGGATAAGGGAATAAGAACAATTTCTACTATTTGAAATCTAGTACTCGTGAAAAGAAAACTAGTAAAGGAGTAAATAAAAGAATTACCGCTTGTGTTGTCCTTTAATTCATAATATAGGGGTAAATAGAAATTTACTGAAACTTATTTGTCTTCTGTAGTACTTCTATCTTGTAATATTTCAGAGATAAACTTTAACCAACTTTTAAATACATTAAAACTAGTAGTATTCTACTACAATTTTGTGGTGTATTAATGAATTTGAGTTAAGAAATTGAAGCCAACCCTCAAAGACCCTAATAACATATATTATTTTTAAGTTGAATGCCACCCTTGCAAAAGGTGGTTTCACTTTCACCTTCACTAATATCATATCAACTTTTATATCAATGTGATTTAAAGCTCTTGTATTACATGAACAACATCAGAATACATTTATACGAATGTTATATAAGAGAACGAATAGTACTTTTGGATCAATTTTACTTATTCAGGATTATTAGTGGTATGTGACAAATGGCATGTAACGGGTCCAATTAATGGAGTAGCTTTTATTATTTGAAAATGGGAGAATAGAGAAAGTGAAGATGAGAATTAGAGAGAGAAGCTACATCTTCTCTCTAACCATCTAACAACAGACTCTGTAAAATTCTACTATAATCATACTCCCTCTGCTGAATTATTCATACTAATCTGTAATGGAAAATCACACTGTTCGAGTGGAACCACCCAAACTGCCTGACATTCATTCCCTCCAATCGAAAGATCTCACCTCCTTCAAGGAAAACTCCTAGTCAATGACCATGTAAAAAGCTTCTCTTTATCCTTAACCCCTTCCCATTTATTACCTATGACAATTGACTCAAACAACGCATCTACTACTCCTAGAGATTCTCTGTTATAATTAAACTTCAAGGAAAAAAAATCCTTCATCAAGTGCTCAAACGTAAAATGATAGATCTATAGAAGCCTTTAGAGGCTTTCCCCTCATTGACCTGGGAGAGGACTACTATACAGTGAAGTTTAACAAGGAAGAGAACATGGAAACTGCTTTGCAGAAAGGTCCATGGTTCATATTTGGCAACTTCTTATCGGTGCAATGCTGGGAACCTAACTTTGTGCCATCAAGAGCAAAACAAATATTCACTGCAATCTGGATAAGATTACCAGAATTACCCACAAAATTTTATGATGAAAAGATCCTAAACAAAGTTGGAAACACAATAGGAAGACTCCTCAAAGTAGATGCGTGCACATCGGCAGCCCTTCGTGGACGATATGCTAGAATTTGTGTGGAACTACCACTAAATAAACAAGTTAAATCTAGTGTGTGGATTGGCTCACACAAACAACAGATCCTATATGAGTGTGACAAACTCCTATGCCTAAACTGCGGCTTCCTGGGCCATTCCACTGGCCAATGTGTAACAACCAAGATCCAACCATACACCTCAATAACAAAAGGAAAAGATGCAGAAAAGGAAGGACAAAGCAATTCCATACAAGCATATCAATACAATATTACACAAGAAGAAGAACACAAAGCTTTACAAGAGGATCAACACACATCAAAGGAGGAATGGCAAGCAGTAACTTTCAAAAAAGGTACCAAAAAAACCCACGCAAAATCAAAAAAAGGAAGCTCTCTCAAAGACAGGTATAAATGTCAATATCTTTGATGCCTCCACAGGTAAGTTTCTTACATCTCAGACCTTTTGTGATGACGCAAAAGGTCATCACTTGTTTTGAAAGTAAATTCAATATTTCGAGGCCTTAAAACCCCCTTTTTTTGTCTCACCTCAATTTGCATGCGCAGTCCGGGCGTGAATCCGGAAAGCTATTATGTGAATAATCTGTGAAAAATGATAAGTTTGCTTTTAAAATGAGTTTAAGTTGACTTCGGTCAACATTTTGGGTGAACCGACTCAGACCCGTGATTTGACGGTCCCGAAGAGTCCGTAGCAAAATATGGGACTTGGGCATATGCCCAGAATCGAATTCCGTGGTCCCAAGCACGAGAAATGAAGTTTTGAAGAAAATTGTTTAACCGAAATTGTAAGAGCTTTTGGAAATTTGAATGTTTTGGAATTTGATGGTATCGGGCCCGTTGGTTCCGGAGCCCGATACAGGTCTTATATGGTAATTAAGTTGAGCCCGTAAAATTTGATAAGAAACGGATTTGAAATGATGTGAATCGGACTCTCGGTTGTTAAAAATGGAACTTAAGAGTTCATGAGGTTTTTTTTGATTTTGATGCTAAATTTGTTGTTAAAGGTGTTAATTTGGTAATTTGATCGCACGAGTAAGTCCATATTATGTTTTTGAGTTAGTAGGCATATTTGGTTTGGAGCCCCGATGGCTCGGGTGAGTTTCAGATAGGTTTCAAGATGTTTTTACACTTAGGAAAAAGTTGCAGGTTCATAGAAGTTGCAGGTCTCTAGGCCATACTTTCGCGGTCGCGCTCGATTTCTTGTGGTCCGCGGTGGAGCTCCGCAGCCACAGTCCTTTTTATGCGGTCCGCGGAGTGGGTCTGAGAGGAGTATATTTAAATGGACTTTTCAGTTATTTTTTACTTTTCAAAACCCTAAAACATAAGAGGCGATTTTCCAAACTCTCTTTCTTCTCCCAAACACTAGTAAGTGATTTTTAACTTATTTCTTTCACTCCTTAACTTCTTTTAACAAGATTTCATCCTAGAATTTAGGGTTTTTATGGTGGAATGAGGAATTTTGGGTAAAACCTAAGAATATTGAAATTTGGGGATTTAGGCCTTAAATTGAGGTTGGATTCTAAAACCAATTATATATCCGGGCTCGGGGGTGAATGGGTAATCGGGTTTTGGTCCGAATTCTGGGTTTGGACCAAGCGGGCCCGAGGTCAATTTTTGACTTTTTGGGGAAATCTTTATAAAACCTATTTTCATGCATTAGAATTGATTCATTTAGCATTTATTGTTATCGTTAAGTAAATTGTGGCTAGATACAAGCGAGTTGGTGGTGGAAACAAGAGGTAAAGCGGTAGTTGAGGCTTGAATTATGTTCGTGGCGTCGAGGCAAGTGTTTGGTCTAACCTTAGCTTGAGGGATTAGGAGTTGAGTCTTATTTTCTATGTGCTAGTTATTGAGTACGACGTATAGGCATGGTGACAAGTATCTATACGTTGGTGTCAAGCATGCCCATGAGTCTTACACTACGATTAATATGACTCCATTTCATATTGTTCCTACTTTATATGATGATTTCCATTGAGGAATATGATTTGTGGAGGTATTATTGGTAATTGAATATTGTAGAGCGTTGGCTCAAGTTGAGAATTGAATTGTTGAATATTGAAGAGCGTTGGCTCAAGTTGAGAATTGAATTGTGAGGTAAATGTGGAAAAGAGAAGAGGTTTATGACATTATCTACCTTGCCGGGATGTTATTGCTTTTGATATTATCTCCCTTGACGGGACGTTATTATTTATGATATTGTTTCCCTTGCGGGGAAATTATTGTTGTGTTATTGTTCCCTTGCCGGGATTTTATTTTAATCTTATTGATTCCCTTGCCCTTATTACTTTGTGATTGTTTTTTGGTAAGGAAGAGTGTTAAAGCACGAAGGGTGATGCCGTGCATGATATTTATGAGAGAGTATAAAGCACGAAGGGTGATATCGTGTATGATTTTGATAGTGTTAATGCACGATGGGTGATGTCGTGCCAATATTGTGAGATAAAAGCACGAAAGGTGATGCCGTCCTGCACGATGTACCATTCCGCACCGATTTTATAGATTTTATGGTGAGGACGAGAGTAAAATCATGAAGGGTGATGTCGTGCAGATTATATTGATTCTTATGGTGAGGACGAGAGTAAAATCATGAAGGGTGATGTCGTGCAGATTATATTGATTCTTATGGTGAGGACGAGAGTAAAAGCACGAAGGGTAATGCCGTGCACGTCTTTTATTTCTGATTTTTTTGGTAATTGAACTTTGGTGATCCTTATATTTATCTGTTGTTCTTCTGGTATTATTTGATGTTCCTCGTAGCATGTTTCCTCCTCCCATCCTTAACTGTACATTCCTGCTTTTATTTTTCGCTGTATATGATTTAATTGCACAGGTTTATTTGGTAGTCTGGTCCTAGCCTCGTCACTACTTTGCTGAGGTTAGGCTAGGTACTTACCAATACATGGGGTCGGTTGTGCTGATACCACACTCTGCACTGTATGCAAATCCCAGTATTGGAGCTTACAGACCTTAGCTTTGGGTTGCTGCCTTCAGTCTATTCGGAGATCCGAGGTAGTCCTGCAGGCGTCCTCAGGCCCTGGAATCTCCTTCTATTCTTTCATCCTA